TAGCTTCTCCATTTGGGGGTGTCTAGTCTCGACCTCGGTCATGGCTTTACTTGTGTAATAAATGAGACTTTGGCGTACTCCTTCCTGCTTGATTAGGGCCAAGCTGACGGCGCTGTCGGACACCGCCAGGTATAAGTGGAGCGTGCCTCCCGGTAATGGCTTGGCGAGTAGAGGTGCCGAGCAGAAGTAGTTCTTTAACTGTTCTAACGCTTGCTCGCACTCTGTCGTCCATTCAAAAGGCCCTTTCTTTCTCAAGACTTTGAAGAAATGAAGGCACTTATCGGTTGACCTTGAGACAAATCTATTTAGGGCTGCAATCCTGCCATTGATGCACTGAAGCTGCTTCAGAGTCTTGGGTGCCTCCATCTCGAGCACGACCTTTATCTTCTCTGGGTTGGCTTTGATCCCCCAGTTATTTACCATAAAACCAAAGAACTTACCCGAGGAGACTCCAACGGCACACTTGGCTGGATTGAGCTTCATTTGATACTTCCGCTGAACTTCAAATGCTTCGGCCAAATCCGAAAGATGCGACTTTGACTGCTTGCTCTTGACAAGCATGTCGTCCACATACACTTCCATATTCCAGCCGATCTGCTTAGCGAACATCTTGTTCACCATTCTTTGGTAGGTCGCTCCCGCATTCTTTAGGCCGAAGGGCATAACCTTATAGCAATACAAACCTTGGTCTGTTATGAATGCGGTATGATCTTGAGCTAGGACATGCATTTTGATTTGGTTKTATCCAGAGTAGGCATCCATGAAGGTGAGCAGCTCGTGCCTGGCCGTTACGTCCACGAGCTGGTCGATCCTTGGCAGGGGAAGCAATCTTTTGGGCATGCCTTGTTTAAATTTGTAAAGTCTACGCACATTCTCCACTTCCCGTTGGATTTTTTAACTAGTACGACATTAGAGAGCCACTCGGGATACATAATTTCTCTTATATATTCAGCTTTTAATAGTTTGTTAATCTCCTCAACAATTACATCACTTCTCTCCTTGTTTACAGGTCTTCTTTTTTGCTTTACTGTTCGGAATGATGGGTCTATGTTGAGGCGATGCACCATGATCTTCAGGTCGATGCCTGGCATGTCCTCGTGGGACCACGTGAAGACGTCCGAGTTGGACCTGAGGAAGTTGACCAGCTCCTCCCTATCAATGGCCCCCAGCTTGGTTCCTATGCTTATTTTTCAGGGCTAAGTAAAGGAATAAGCTCGAGCTCCTTTGTTGGTGCAGAGAACTTCCTTTTGCCTTCTCTAGGTAGGTCAGCCTCGGATTTTCGCAGCTCGTCCCGGTCAGTTTGTCCTTCCAGGGTGCACACTGACGACCCTTTGAGTGCAGAGGCATAACACTCCCTTGAAGTCTTCTGCTCTCCTCGAACCGTGCCCACTCCATTGGGAGTTGAATATTTCAAAACTTGATGAAGCGTTGAGGGAACGACCCGGAATGAGTGGATGATGGGTCTTCCGAAGATGGTATTGTAGGCCGACCTGCCGTCGACCACAACAAACTAGGCCATCTGAGTTACTTGTGTATCATCTTGCCCAATCGTGACTGGCAAGTCAATACACCTTTCTTGGGAGACCGATTCTCCAGAGAATCCCACCAAGGGTGTTGGACTCTTTTTCAGCTGTGACCTGGTCCATCCCAAGGCAAGATATGTTGGAAGGGACAAGATGTTGGCAGATGCACCTCCATCTACCAGTACTCTTCGGACCAAGACCTGATCGATGACAGGGGCGATCACAAGTGCGTCATTATGGGGCAAATGGATCCCTTCCAAGCCGGCATCGTCGACGGTAATGGAGGAGGTCGTTCTCTGCTCTCTAATGATGCATACCTCGCGCCTAGCTTCGCGAACTAGCTCTTTTCTTTTATTTCTAGACTGGCCCCCACTTGGGCCTCTAAAAATGGTGTTGATGATCGCAGGTCGGTCATCTCGACGAGGCGGCGTCCTCGAACGCTTCCTCTCTTCTTTCTTTTCCGCCGAGTTCGACCTCGGTTTGCCAACGAACTTTTTGAAGTAGCCATCTTGAATGAGGTCTTCAATCTGGCGCTTAAGCTCCCAGCAATTTGACGTATTATGGCCGTGATCGCGATGAAAACGACAATATTTATCTTTGTTGCGCTTTTTTGGGTCTCCTCGGAGCTTCTCAGGTCGCTTGAGGAGCTTTTCCATCACAGTCTCCTCAATATTTGTAAATATTTCAGAGATTAGGATGGTGGTCGGAGTATAACGCTCATAAGGTCGACTCCGGCTGGGGCCACAATCCTACCTTCGATACCCAGCTCGGCCACTGGAGGAAGATGACCCCCTGTCCTTAGACTTGGACTCAGCCTTTCTCTTCTCTTGGCTGGGCTTTTTTTGGTCAATCTGCTTCTCAGGTCGGCCAATTTTGGTTTGGAGAAGTTCCTGCCCGTCAATGACTTTTTTCACTTTTTGCAGGACTTCGGCAAAAGTGGCTGGAGCTTCTTTTCCAAGCTTCACAGTTAAGGTCTCATCGGCCAGGCCGGTAAGGAAATAGCACATGGCCGAGTCATCGGAGCAGTGCGCGACCTTCAGCTGCTCCTCCTGGAACCTTGTGACATATTCTCTCAACGTCTCACCTTTCTTCTGCCTGATGGTGGCGAGGTGAGTAGCTGTTTTTCTATCATAGTGCCGAGAAGAGAATTGACTGATAAACTCTTTCCTCAGCTGAGAGTAGGTCGAGATCGACCTGGCTGGCAGTTTTCGATACCACAGGCGCGCGCTGCCAGTGAACGCGATCTGGAAGGCGCGACACTTGATTGCATCTGTTACCGTCTGAAAATCAATGAGGCCTTCGAAGACCTCAACATAGTCTTTTGGGTCCTTAGACCCATCATAAGGTTTCATGGTGGGAGTCTTGAACTTTGGAGGGATTTGAGCCTCTAAGATGTCCGAGGTGAATGGCGATTCCCTCAGGTTGCCATCATCAAATGCGCTCCCCTTGACCTCGCACCTTGCCCTTAAGGCTTTAACCTGAGCATCGAATTTGCTCTTAAGCTGGTCGAACTCTTCCCTTGTAATCATTCCCTCAGGAACTACCGGGTTGTAAGAAGATTCGGCCTACTGGTTGGAGTTCTTGTGCGAGCAAGATGGAGATCGTCCTTTCTAGAGGGACGAGCTTTTCTTTCTGTTGAAATGATCGCGGAGATCGCCTCTCTGACGAGTGTACTCCTCATCTTCATCTCCTCCATGGTGCTTTTCATCGACTGGGTCGAGGTGAAGACCTTCTTGTTCGCGCACCTCATCGCGCGCCGCCCGGTCTTCAAATCGAGACCCGGCACCTGCAGCTTGCACCATTTCGTTGTACATCTCCTCCATAGTGTGCATCCAGGTGTGTATTGCCTCCATTTCTTTCTGGAGTGCATCAAAATTCTCCCTAGTAGGAGCTGGGGCTACTCCTCGAGTGGTTCTCCTCGAGGCACCACCT